TTCAGGAGTTTTTGGGCTGAGGCGATGGGGTCTTCTAGGTATACTATCATGTCGTCTGCAAATAGAGACAATTTGGCTTCCACCTTTCCTATTTGAATACACTTTATTTCTTTTTCTTGCCTGATTACTCTGGCTAGAACTTCCAGTACGATATTGAATAGGAGTGGTGAAAGAGGGCATCCTTGTCTAGTGCCGGATTTCAAAGGGATTGCTTCCAGTTTTTGCCCATTCAGTATGATATTGGCTGTTGGTTTGTCGTAAATAGCTTTTATTACTTTGAGATATGTTCGATCGATACCGAGTTTATTGAGGGTTTTTAGCATAAAGGGCTGTTGAATTTTGTCGAATGCCTTCTCTGCATCAATTGAGATAATCATGTGGTTTTTGTTTTTGGTTCTGTTTATGTGGTGAATTACGTTTATAGAATTGCGTATGTTGAACCAGCCTTGCACCCCCGGGATGAATCCTACTTGATCATGATGGATAAATTTTTTGATTTGCTGTTCCAATTGGCTTGCCAATATTTTATTGAAGATTTTTGCATCTATGTTCATCATAAATATTGGCCTGAAGTTTCCTTTTCTTGTTGGGTCTCTGCCGGGTTTTGGTATCAAGATGATGTTGGTCTCATAAAATGATTTGGGAAGGATTCCCTCTTTTTGGATTATTTGGAATAGTTTCAGAAGGAATGGTAGCAGCTCCTCTTTGTGTGTCTGGTAGAATTCGGCTGTGAACCCATCTGGACCTGGGCTTTTTTTGTGTGGTAGGCTCTTAATTGCTGCCTCGACTTCAGATCTTGTTATTGGTCTATTCATAGTTTCAGCTTCCTCCTGGCTTAGGCTTGGGAGGACACAGGAGTCCAGGAATTTATCCATTTCTTCTAGGTTTACTAGTTTATGTGCATAGAGTTGTTTGTAATATTCTCTGATGATGTTTTGAATTTCTGTGGAATCTGTGGTGATTTCCCCTTTATCACTTTTTATTGCATCTATTTGGTTGTTCTCTCTTTTCTTTTTTATCAATCTGGCTAGTGGTTTGTCTATTTTGTTGATCTTTTCAAAAAACCAACTCTTGGATTTATTGATTTTTTGAAGGGTTTTTCGTGTCTCTATCTCCTTCAGTTCTGCTCTGATCTCAGTTATTTCTTGTCTTCTGCTAGGTTTTGAGTTTTTTTTATCTTGCTCCTCTAGCTCTTTCAATTTTGACGATAGGGTGTCAATTTTGGATCTCTCCATTCTCTGCATGTGGGCACTTATTGCTATATATTTTCCTCTAGAGACTGCTTTAAATGTGTCCCAGAGATTCTGGCATGTTGTGTCTTCGTTCTCATTGGTTTCGAAAAACTTCTTTATTTCTGTCTTCATTTCATTGTTTATCCAGTCAACATTCAAGAGCCAGTTGTTCACTTTCCATGAAGCTGTGTGGTTCTGAGTTGGTTTCTGAATTCTGAGTTCTAACTTGATTGCACTATGGTCTGAGAGGCTGTTTGTTATGATTTCAGTTGTTTTGCATTTGCTGAGGAGTGCTTTACTTCCAATTATGTGGTCAATTTTAGAGTAGGTGTGATGTGGTCCTGAGAAGAATGTATATTCTGTGGATTTGGGGTGGAGAGTTTTGTAAATGTCTATCAGGTTTGCTTGTTCCAGGTCTGAATTCAAGCCTTGGATATCCATGTTGATTTTCTGTCTGGTTGACCTGTCTAATATTGGCAGTGGAGTGTTAAAGTCTCCCACTCCTGCTTTTTTTTGCTCTCCATTTGCTTGGTAAATCTTCCCACATCTCTTTATTTTGAGCCTTTGTGTATCCTTGCATGTGAGATGGGTTTTCTGGATACAGCACACTGATGGGTTTTGGTTTTTTATCCAGTTTGCCAGTCTGTGTCTTTTGATTGGTGCATTTAGTCCATTTATGTTTAGGGTTAATATTGTTATGTGTGAATTTGATACTGCCATTTTGATGCTAGCTGGCTGTTTTGCCCATTTGTTGATGTAGATTCTTCATTATGTTGATGCTCTTCAGCATTTAGTGTGATTTTGGAATGGCTGGTACTGGTTGTTCCTTTTTATGTGTAGTGCCTCTTTCAGGAGCTCTTATAAAGCAGGCCTGGTGGTGACAAAATCTCTGAGTACTTGCTTGTTCACAAAGGATTTTATTTTTCCTTCACTTATGAAGCTCAGTTGGCTACATATGAAATTCTTGGTTGAAAGTTCTTTTCTTTAAGGATGTTGAATATTGGCCCCCACTCTCTTCTGGCTTGTAGAGTTTCTGCCGAGAGATCTGCTGTGAGTCTGATCGCCTTGCCTTTGTGGATGACCCAACTTTTTTCTCTGGCTTCCCTTAGTATTTTTTCCTTTATTTCAACCCTGTTGAATCTGACGAGTATGTGCCTTGGGGTTGCTCTTCTTGCCGAATATCCTTGTGGTGTTCTCTGTATTTCCTGTATTTGAGTGTTGGCTTGCCCTGCTAGGTGGGGGAAATTTTCCTGGATAATATCCTGAAGAGTATTTTTCAGCTTGGATTCATTCTCTTCGTCCCCTTCTGGTACACCTATCAAACGTAGGTTAGGTCTCTTCACATAGTCCCACATTTCTTGGAGACTTTTTTCATTCCTTTTTGTGCTTTTTTCTCTAATCTTGGTTTCTCGTTTTATTTCATTGAGTTGATCTTCAACTTCTGATATTCTTTCTTCTGCTTGGTCAATTCAGCTGTTGAAACTTGTGCATGCTTCGTGAAGTTGTCGTATTGTGTTTTTCAGCTCCTTCAATTCATTCATATTCCTCTCTAAGTTATCCATTTTTGTTGCCGTTTCTTCGAATCTTTTTTCAAATCTTTTTTCAAGGTTCTTAGTTTCTGTGCATTGATTTAGAACATGTTCTTTTAGCTCACAGCAGTTTCTCATTATCCACCTTCTGAAGTCTAATTCCGTCATTTCGTCACAGTCATTCTCTGTCCAGCTTTGTTCCCTTGCTTATGAGAAGCTTTGTTCCTTTGTAGGAGGCAAGGTGTTCTGGTTTTGGGTGTTTTCCTCCTTTTTGTGCTGGTTTCCTCCCATCTTTGTGGATTTATCCACCTGTCGTCTGAGTAGTTGCTGACTTTTTGATTGGGTCTCTGAGTGGACGCCCAGATTGTTGATGATCACTTGTCTTTCTGTTACTTGGTTTTTCTTCTACCAGTCTAGCCCCTCTGCTGTATGACTGCTGAGGTCCACTCCAGGCCCTGCTTGTCTGGGGTACACCTGTAGCAGCTGCAGAACAGTGAGGGATGCTACCAGTTTCTTCTGCTGCTATCTTTGTCCCAGAATGGTGCCCGCCTAATGTCAGTCTGATCAGTCCTTTTTGAGGTGACTCTGGATATAAAGGGGTCAGGGAGCTGCTTGAGGAGACAGTCTGTACTTTATAGGAGTTCAAGTGCTGAGCTGTGAGCTCCGTTGTTTATTCAGGGCTGTTAGGCAAGTGCGTTTAATTCTGCTGCAGCACAACTCTTAGAACCCCTTGTTTTCCTCAGATGCTCTGTCTCGGGGGGGTTGGGTCTTTCTTTATGAGTGTCCATGGCACTATCCTGCCCAGCTAGGAGGCAGTCTAGTCACAATTTGCCTGCTGAGGCTCCTCCCTGTTGATGTGGTGTGGGTCCTCTTGCTGCGGGCTCTGCCCTGCACCCGTGGGCTCTGCAGCAGGCTCCGCCCTGCTGCCACCAGCTCTGCCCTGCAGTGGAGTCTCTCTGTTATGGCGTGTTGCCTTAGCAACGGCAGGCTGTGTCAGCAATGGGAGTGTACCTCCATAGGGGTGGATATCCTCAGTAATGGCGAACGCCCCTCCCCCACCGAGCCTCACTGTCCTGGGTTCAGCTGTGCTCGCAGTGAAACTCTCCACCTGGAGCGTTTCGAGTTGCCATTTTGTTTGTCCCTGTGGGGGTGAAACCCGCTGAGCCTGCTCGCCTGGCTCCCTGCTTCAGAGCGCCTTTTTTTTTTTTTAAGTTGAACGGATGGCTCTCTCCCAGGTATTTTGGTCGCCCACTGTTAGAGCACTGGGATCTGTGTGATTTCCCATGCAGCTAGCCACTGCACTGGCTCAGATGCCACTTCCCAGGAATCTCTGGTCTGGCTCACTGTCCAAGTCCCGTTTAATCAGATGGATATGCTAATCTGCCCTCCCAAATCTCAGATTGCCAGTTTAGCAGGGCACCCAGGCCCGTGTGTTTTGTGTGGATTGTTAGGGAGTGCCTGCGCTGTGGTGCCCGCTGAAGCGGCCGCAACAGCCAAACTGGCTGCGCTTGCATCCCATGTCTTTCCTACACCTGGGACTTTCCCTGTTCTGTGGGCAACAAAGATCCATCTGGAAATGTGGCTTTGACTCGCCCTCTGAGCATTCACTGAGAGCTGCAATCCTGAGTTGTTCTTACTGTGCCATCTTGAAAATCCTGGTGTAACTTTTATTGAAAAAAAAATCATGTTCAAGTGGACCTGTGCAATTCAAAATTGTGTTGTTCAAAGGTTAAGTGTATACACTGTGTGTCAAATTATTAACTAATGACATTAAGAATCCCTTATGATTATGAAGACATGCAAACTTTCACATTCATCTCACTCTTTAGCTTTATCTTTAGGGTAGATATTATAATGTTTATAATACACAGGCAAAAAATTAATGCATCCTATTCTTTTATTGAAAGAATTGTATGAACAAAAATGTCATGGATCCACATCTTTCCACGATGGATTCACAGAAGAAATAGGAATGGATGGTTGCATCAAGCAGCATTTGGGGGGTTGACTAAACTGGGCATGGTAGCTGAATAGATGGTGGGGTAAGATCAAGAAAGGATGGAAAGTGATTCTTATTCATTACCCTGGGATAATGATATTCAAGTGAGGGTCTTGGTGCAGAAATGGATGTTTGGAGGAGGTGGTGGATTTTGGATGGTAAGAATGAGGTAAGCTATGGATGGGCTGAACTTCTGGTGAACTCAGTTGCATGACGATCTGTTAAGAAGACTCTGACAGCTTAATTTTCTAACCTGGAATCAGCCACCCACAGTTTAGGCTGAATTAAATTCACAGAATATAAGCAGAAGTTAGTGTTATTAGTTTTGCCCCTCTCCTGGGTTAGAATGGTGGGCTGTCGTGATGTGGAGGAGGGGGCTATGAACCAGCCAGGGTAAAAGACTAACTGAAAGAGAGAGGTGGAGCCTTCTTTATTGTGGAAAAAGAGAAAGGGCTTCTCTGCTTTGTTCTCCATGTACAGGTCCATGATATTTTTCTCCTGGGAGTGGAAAAGATGCTTGTTAGAGAGGAGGGTGGGAGGAGGAAGCTAAAGTAACTCAGCCCTGAGTGTACAACAGGAGAGTCACTGCTGCCCCCAAAGGAAGGGACAGAGGCTAGGGACACAGGCAGATGAAGCAGGGCATTAGGCTATTAAAACAGGGAATTCACTGGGTTTCCATAGCCTAGTTTCACCACAGGATCCTCTGACACAAGGTGCTTCTGAGTCTTTGAAGCATCATTGTCTTCTCTGGAACAGAGGGAGGTTTAAACCTATTTTTGGTGCTTTTGGTATGCATTTATCTTCAGGTTCAAGCCAGTCTTGCTGTATTCTCAACCCCCAAGTGGGCTTATGCATTACAACTTTCATCAGTAGCAGAAGGATTAGCTTCATAACTACAATATTGCCTTGGTAAGATTTGTGTGTTTATGGTACACAGACTATAAACATGTAATCTGCAAATTTTACATTAACAATCTCTTTTTGTCTCCTCCACTGTGCAGTGGCCTTTGCTTTAGTGGGAGCATCCCATCATCTTAGAGAATTTCCAGAAGGTAGTTAATCAGTACTGAAAATGGAGAAACTACTGTTCTTTGGCTTTTCAGAAACATTTCTGTAAGTGTGTTTGCTATCTTTCAGAGGATCTATGCTCTGACATTAAAAAAAGTGTTATCTCCATTCCAAAGGCAGCATTTACAGATTCGGGGATAAGCCAAGTTAGAATTATTTTCTTACTTTGAATAATCCAGAATTGCAAGAATATTACTTTTATTCAGCAACATATTAAATGAAATCAAAAGCTTGTTTGACAGTACTTCTCTTATTAGCTGCACAATGACTCACGTTAAGCTGCAAAATAAGCTTGCCCTGAATTTCTGCACAGAAGACACAGAACTCTTTTCCCTTGATTCCCGGGTAAACTACATTACCCTTTTTCTCATCACCAAATTCTGTGTCTCTACAGGCTATTAAATCAAGAGTAACTGAAAACACAAAGGAAAATGGAGAAGATGTTAGGCTCCAAGTAGCATGAAGTTTCAGTCTTTCTGGTCTGACACTTAGTTACTCCTTCCAGGCAGGGAATAGTGACAGGCTTCTCCCAGACAGGCTCTTTCCATTAGCTATGTGGCAGAGACCCTCCATCACCCTCCTCACACCCATTTTGTTTTTCTTCCTCAATGTCAGAACCCCAGTTGTCACCAGGACACATTGCTTCCCAAAAATAAAGGTAAAATTTCCTACCAGCCTTGCAGCAAAATGTGGTCATATGCTTAAGATGTAGCCCATGAGGTAAATGTGAGGAGCTTATATCTCATGGGTCACAACATGAGATCAGATGGGGGCTACATAGTTAAAGTGAGAGGGAGGCAGTGAGAATGTAATGGCATTGGTCCAGGCAAGAGATGATGTTATCTTAGAAATCAGGCATGTTTTGTACACAGACCTATCAGTCTTTGCTAATAGATTGGATGGAGAGTGAGGGAAAGGAGGAATCAAGGATGTCTCCTGTATTTCTGGCTCAAGGAAATGAAGTGGATGGAAGTGCCACGAACAGAGACTATTAATGGTTTTTAGAAGACAGATGCATAGTTCCACTTAGGACACATGAAGTTAGAGGTTTCTGAGAGGACCTCAAAAGGATGTGGATAAACTATTCAGAGAGGAGATACATGTTTGAAGTGGAAATGGCAGAGTGAGTGAGCATAGGGGTGATTCATCAATCCAAAAGACCAGCTCATTACCCATTTACAGTGCTTATAAAATGATGGCTGGTTGAGCCCTGAGGAATGCCATCTTTTGGAGATTTCAGAGGTAAAAAAGAGTCATAAAGGAAAATGCAAAAGAGGAGCCAGTGAACCTCATGAGAAGGAATGTTCTTATAGAAGGAGAAGATGGGGGGGAGGACTCAAGATGGCGCTGTGAGAACAACCCAGGATTGGAGCTCTTCTCGTTGAATCCGCAAACGGTGAGTCAGAGCGGCATTTCCAGACTGATTTTTGTTGCCCACAGAACGGGGAAACTCCCAAGTATAAAAAAGACATGGGATGCCAGGCAGTAGGTCTGCCTGGCGAAGCCGGCAGCCGGGGCGGCAGCGGCCGGCCCTACCCAGCAATCCCCACAGGGCGTGCTTGTCCGGGTGCCCTGTTGAACTGGCAACCTGAGACTTGAGAGGGCTGGACTTGAGACTGAACGAGACTTGGACAGTAGGCCAGCCCAGGGGATTGCAGGGATTGGGATACCCAGTGGGACGAACAAAACCGCGATTTAAAACTATCCTGAGCAGATGGTCGGAGACGCTCTGTGGGGGAGGGGCATCCACCACTACCGAGGCAACCCGCCCCAACTGAGATACACGCCCACTGCTGACGCAGCCAGCCGTTGCCGAGGCAACCCGCCCCAAATGAGATACACGCCCACTGCTGACGCAGCCAGCCGTTGCCGAGGCAACCCGCCCCAACTGAGATACACGCCCATTGCTGACGCAGCCAGCCGTTGCTGAGGCAACCCATCCCTAATGAGATACACGCCCACTGCTGACGCAGCCTGCAGTTGCTGAGGCAACACACTACAACGAAGAGACTCCGCCGCAGGGCGTGGCGGAGACCACAGCAGAGCCGGCAGGAATAGCGCAAATCACACAACAGCAGGGCGGAGCCTCGGCAGCCAAACAGTGGCTAGTCTGCCTTCTAGCTGGGCAGGACACCTGATCGGACATCCAAAAATAAAGCCCAAACCCCTCAACACAGAGCATTTGAGAAAAAACAAAAGGGGGGGGTTTTAATGAGCTCTGTTGCAGAAGAATCAAACATAGCAGCCTAACAGCCCTGAATGAAAAACAGAGTGCACAGCTCAGCAATTAAACCCCTATAAAGTACAAATTGTCTCCTCAAGCAGCTCCCTGACCCCTCTATATCCAAAAGACTGACATTAGGCAGGCATCATCCTGGGACAAAAAGAGCAGAAAAAGAAACTGGTAGCATCCCTCGCTGTGCCACAGCTACTAGAGGTGCACCCCAGACAAGCAGGGTCTGGAGCGGACCTCAGCAGTCATACAGCAAAGGGGCTAGACTGGTAGAAGGAAAACTAAGCAACAGAAATACTTCATCATCAACATTCTGGGTGTCCACTCAGAGACCCAAATGAAAAGTCATCAACTACGCAGACGACCAGAGGACAAATCCACAAAGATGGGAAGAAACCAGCGCAAAAAGGAGGAAAACACCCGAAACCAGAACACCTCACCTCCTAGAAAGGACCAAAACTCCTCACCAGCAAGGGAGCAAAGCTGGACGGAGAATGACTGTGACGAAATGATGGAATTAGACTTCAGAAGATGGATAATGAGAAACTTTTGTGAGCTAAAAGATCATGTATTAAATCAATGCAAAGAAACTAAGAACCTTGAAAAAAGATTTGAAAAAAGATTCGAGGAAATGATAACAAGAATGGATACCTTAGAGAGGAATATGAATGAATTAAAGGAGCTGAAAAACACAATATGAGAACTTCGCGAAGCAAACACAAGTTTCAATAGCCGAACTGACCAAGCAGAAGAAAGAATATCTGAAGTCAAAGACCAACTCAATGAAATAAAACGAGAAACCAAGATCAGAGAAAAAAGCGCAAAAAGGAATGAACAAAGTCTCCAAGAAATGTGGGACTATGTGAAAAGACCTAACCTACGTTTGATAGGTGTACCAGAAGGGGACGAAGAGAATGAATCCAAGCTGGAAAATACTCTTCAGGACATCATCCAGGAAAATTTCCCCCACCTAGCAAGACAAGCCAACACTCAAATACAGGAAATACAGAGAACACCACAAAGATATTCGGCAAGAAGAGCAACCCCAAGGCACATAATCGTCAGATTCAACAGGGTTGAAATAAAGGAGAGAATACTAAGGACAGCCAGAGAGAAAGGTCGGGTCACCCACAAAGGGAAGCTCATCAGACTCACAGCAGATCTCTCGGCAGAAACACTACAAGCCAGAAGAGAGTGGGGGCTAATATTCAACATTCTTAAAGAAAAGAACTTTCAACCCAGAATTTCATATCCAGCCAAACTGAGCTTTAGAAGTGAAGGAAAAATAAAATCCTTTGCGAACAAGCAAGTACTCAGAGATTTTGTCACCACCAGGCCTGCTTTACAAGAGCTCCTAAAAGAGGCACTACACATAGAAAGGATCAATCAGTACCAGCCATTCCAAAATCACACTGAATGCTAAAGAGCTTCAACATAATGAAGAATCTACAACAACTAACAGGCAAAACAGCCACTTAGCATCAAAATGGCAGTATCAAATTCACACATAACAATATTAACCCTAAATGCAAATGGACTAAATGCACCAATCAAAAGACACAGACTGGCAAATTGGATAAAAATCCAAAACCCATTAGTGTGCTGTATCCAGGAAACCCATCTCACATGCAAGGATACACAAAGGCTCAAAATAAAGAGATGGAGGAAGATTTACCAAGCTAATGGAAAGCAAAAAAAATCAGGAGTTGCAATTCTCATCTCTGATAAAATAGACTTTAAAGCAACAAAGATCAAAAGAGACAAAGAAGGCCATTACATAATGGTAAAAGGATCGATACAACAAGAAGAGCTAAAGATCCTGAACATATATGGACCCAACACAGGAGCACCCAGATACATAAGGCAAGTTCTTAATGACTTACAAAAGGACTTAGACTCCCACACAATAATAGTGGGAGACTTTAACACTCCACTGTCAATACTAGACAGATCAACCAGACAGAAAATCAACAAGGATACCCAGGGCTTGAACTCAGACCTGGAGCAAGCAAACCTGGTGGACATTTACAGAACTCTCCACCCCAAATCCACAGAATACACATTCTTCTCAGCACCACATCACACCTGCTCTAAAATTGACCACATAATTGGAAGTAAAGCACTGCTCAACAAATGCAAAACAACTGAAATCATAACAAACAGCCTCTCAGACCATAGTGCAATCAAGTTAGAACTCAGAATTCAGAAACCAACCCAGAACCGCACAGCTTCATGGAAACTGAACAACTGGCTCTTGAATGTTGACTGGGTAAACAACGAAATGAAGGCAGAAGTAAAGAAGCTCTTCGAAACCAATGAGAACGAAGACACAACGTGCCAGAACCTCTGGGACACATTTAAAGCAGTCTCTAGAGGAAAGTATATAGCAATAAGTGCCCATATGAGGAGAATGGAGAGATCCAAAACTGACACCCTATCGTCAAAATTGAAAGAGCTGGAGGAGCAAGATCAAAAAAACTCAAAACCCAGCAGAAGACAAGAAATTACTAAGATCAGAGCTGAGCTGAAGGAGATTGAGACACGAAAAACCCTTCAAAAAATCAATAAATCCAAGAGTTGGTTTTTTGAAAAGATCAACAAAATAGACCACTAGCCAGATTGATTAAAAAGAAAAGAGAGAACAACCAAATAGATGCAATAAAAAGTGATAAAGGGGAAATCACCACAGATTCCACAGAAATTCAAACCATCATCAGAGAATATTACAAACAACTCTATGCGCATAAACTAGTAAACCTGGAAGAAATGGATAAATTCCTGGACTCCTGTGTCCTCCCAAGCCTAAACCAGGAGGAAGCTGAAACTATGAATAGACCAATAACAAGGTCTGAAGTTGAGGCAGCAATTAAGAGCCTACCACACAAAAAAAGCCCAGGCCCAGACGGGTTCACAGCCGAATTCTACCAGACACACAAGGAGGAGCTGGTACCATTCCTTCTAAAACTATTTCAAACAATCCAAAAAGAGGGATTCCTTCCCAAATCATTTTATGAGACCAACATCATCCTGATACCAAAACCCGGCAGAGACCCAACGAGAAAAGAAAACTTCAGGCCAATATCCATGATGAACATAGACGCAAAAATCTTCAATAAAATATTGGCAAGCCGATTGCAACAGCAAATGAAAAAACTTATTCATCATGATCAAGTAGGATTCATCCCGGGGATGCAAGGCTGGTTCAACATACGCCAGTCTATCAACGTAATTCACCACATAAACAGAACCAAAAACAAAAACCACATGATTATTTCAATTGACGCAGAGAAGGCATTTGACAAAATTCAACAGCCCTTTATGCTAAAAACCCTCAAGAAACTCGGTATCGATGGAACGTATCTCAAAGTAATAAAAGCTATTTATGACAAACCAACAGCCAATATCATACTGAATGGGCAAAAACTGGAAGCATTCCCTTTGAAATCTGGCACTAGACAAGGATGCCCTCTCTCACCACTCCTATTCAGTATAGTACTGGAAGTTCTAGCCAGAGCAATCAGGCAAGAAAAAGAAATAAAGGGTATTCAAATAGGAAAGGTGGAAGCCAAATTGTCTCTATTTGCAGACGACATGATAGTATACCTAGAAGACCCCATCACCTCAGCCCAAAAACTCCTGAAACTGATAAACAACTTCAGCAAAGTCTCAGGATATAAAATCAATGTGCAAAAATCACAAGCATTCGTCTACACCAATAACAGACTTAAGGAAAGCCAAATCAAGAGCGAACTGCCATTCGCAATTGCTACAAAAAGAATAAAATACCTTGGAATACAACTCACAAGGAACGTAAGGGACCTCTTCAAGGAGAACTACAAACCACTGCTCAGTGAAATCAGAGAGGACACAAACAGATGGAGAAACATTCCATGTTCATGGTTAGGAAGAATTAATATCGTGAAAATGGCTATACTGCCCAAAGTAATTTACAGAATCAACGCTATCCCCATCAAGCTACCATTGACTTTCTTCACAGAACTGGAAAAAACCACCATGAACTTCATATGGAACCAAAAGAGAGCCTGCATAGCCAAGTCAATTCTAAGCAAAAAGAACACAGCGGGGAGCATCACACTACTGGATTTCAAACTATACTACAAGGCTACAGTAATCAAAACAGCATGGTACTGGTACCAAAACAGAGATATAGACCAATGGAACAAAACAGAGGCACCGGAGGCAACACAACATACATACAACTATACAATCTTTGATAAACCTGACAAAAACAAGCAATGGGGAAAGGATTCCATGTTTAACAAATGGTGTTGGGAAAACTGGCTAGCCATGTGCAGAAAGCAGAAACTGGACCCCTTCCTGACAGCTTACACTAAAATTAACTCCAGATGGATTAAAGACTTAAACATAAGACCTGGCACCATAAAAACCCTAGAAGGAAATCTAGGCAAAACCATCCAGGACATAGGAGTAGGCAAGGACTTCATGAACAAAACACCAAAAGCATTGGCAACAAAAGCCAAAATAGACAAATGGGACCTAATGAAACTCCACAGCTTCTGCACAGCAAAAGAAACAGTAACTAGAGTGGATCGGCAACCAACAGAATGGGAAAAAATTTTCGCAGTCTACCCATCTGACAAAGGGCTGATATCCAGAATCTACAAAGAACTCAAACAGATTTATAGGAAAAAAACAAACAAGCCCATTCAAAAGTGGGCAAAGGATATGAACAGATACTTTACGAAAGAAGACATATATGAGGCCAACAATCATATGAAAAAATGCTCATCGTCACTGGTCATCAGAGAGATGCAAATCAAAACCACATTGAGATACCATCTCACGCCAGCTAGAATGGCGATCATTAAAAAATCTGGAGACAACAGATGCTGGAGAGGATGTGGAGAAAAAGGAACACTTTTAGAGTGTTGGTGGGAGTGTAAATTAGTTCAACCATTGTGGAAGACAGCGTGGCGATTCCTCAAGGCCTTAGAAATAGAAATTCCATTTGACCCAGCAATCCCTTTACTGGGTATATATCCAAAAGACTATAAATCATTCTACTATAAGGACACATGTACACGAATGTTCATTGCAGCACTGTTTACAATAGCAAAGACCTGGAATCAACCCAAATGCACATTGATAATAGACTGGATTGGAAAAATGTGGCACATATACACCATGGAATATTATGCAGCAATCAGAAATGATGAGTTTGTGTCGTTTGTAGGGACATGGATGAATCTGGAGAACATCATCCTCAGCAAACTGACACAAGAACAGAAAATGAAACACCACATATTCTCACTCATAGGTGGGTGATGAAAAATGAGAACACATGGACACAGAAAGGGGAGTACTAAACACTGGGGTCAATTGGGGGGAAAAGGGGAGGGCCAGTGGGAGGGGGAGGTGGGGAGGGATAGACTGGGGAGAAATGCCAAATGTGGGTGAAGGGGAGAAGAAAAGCAAAGCACACTGCCATGTGTGTACCTACGCAACTGTCTTGCATGCTCTGCTCATGTACCCCAAAACCTATAATCCAATAAAAAATTAAAAAAAAAAAAAAAGAAGGAGAAGATGTAGAGTATTCAAGAAGGAAATGGTTCATTACACTAATGAGCTGAGGGCAAAACAGCATGGGGACCAAGAAGCATCCTTTTGGTTTGAGTATTTGAAGGTCATGGGTGAGATAGGAGGTTGGGGGAGTAGTCAGTGTAATTCAGATATTAGAATGTTTGGCTGTAAGGATGACTAGGAGGTGAAGCAGATGCACACTATGCAGCCAGCTTTCATGAAGTTTGGTTGTGACTGGCATAAGAAAAAGTGTTGACAGGAATAAAATGTGGGAATTAAGAAGGTTTTAGCAGTACGATTGGCGATATTAGATTACAGCATGTCTGATGGTAATAGAAAGGGTCCAGTAAACAAAGGTGGAATTTGCAGGGAAGTGAGGAATTAAACCAAACACTGACATTCTGGAGAAAGGGAAAGAAGCTGAGATGGACTGCCTTTTGATGAGAGGAAGGACTATTTCCCCATTATTAGAAAAGAGGATGCCAACTTAGAACTGTGTAGGTTTGGTGGTGGAAAGACTATGGACTTTGAATCTCGGGACATAGGAAGCCATGTTCGGAAACTGAAGGAGAGAAACTCCAAGGGGAAGGTCAGCTGTTGCTTGAATGGATAAGCCCTTCTAATCTGAAGATATTTTCTTTCGGTAAGAGGAGCTGTGAACTCCTTGCACCGTCATTTCTAGATATGGGATTTCCTTTGTCGAAAAGAATCATAGTGCCATTTCTCACTTGACCTTCCTGTGGTCATTGGGCTGGTGCCTAGAAGTGGGCAAGGTCCAGGGCCAGCCTTGTGCAAGCTCAGCCTCATTCCTGGTGAAGCTGGCATCCCCTCAAGAAGCAACAGTGGGTTTGATTGTCACTCACCAGGCTTAACATTTCTGCTAAAAGGAAGTGTTGTTAAAGAATTTCCACTCAGGACCCATATTATCTTTTGAGAATCATGAATAACATAGGATTTGGGTGCTACCTCCACTGCCAGATGACAAAAATGCACAAAATACATGTGAGGTTATCAACTTCAGGACTCCAGTTGCATCCTGGTGTTAATGGCTTTTGAGTTTCTGGAGAGAGTCTCATTGCTCTGAGAAGTAGTGGCTATAAGGATAAATAGAGGGGAGATAGGGCAGGGGCTAGTTTGTGAATCAAAGCATCTGAAAGTATCTACGTGCAATCACAGTCCCAAGATTCACCCTTTTCTAGGGCTATTAGTGACTTGTCCTTTGCCGAATGATAAAATGACTAGGTGGCATGTACCTATGCAACAATCTTGCATGTTCTTCACATGTACCCCAAAACCTAAAATGCAATTAAAAAAATGTCTAGGTGGTAAAAAACCCCCATAATATTTAAATTAGTTGTCAGTATGTTGTTTTTAAAAAATCCTCTTATCAAAATAAACAAGGAATTCTAAATACAGATAACAACAAAAGAGCTAGACGCTCTGAGATTTTCAAAGGCTGTTTTATGAACTGAGTTTATTATTATTATTATACTTTAAGTTCTGGGGTACATGTGCAGATTGTGCAGGATTGTTACATAGGTATACACGTGCCATGGTGGTTTGCTACATCCATACCCCCATCACCTACATTAGGTATTTCTCCTAATGTTATCCCTCCCCAATCCCCCCACCCTCTGCTACCTCTCCCCTAGCTCCCTCAATTACCACAACAGGCCCCAGTGTGTAATGTTCCCCTCCCTGTGTCCATGTGTTCTCATTGCTCAACATCCACTTATGAGTGAGAACATGTGGTGTTTGATTTTCTGTTCTTGTGTCAGCTTGCTGAGAATGATAGTTTCCAACTTCATCCACGTCCCTGCAAAGGACATGAACTCATCCTTTTTATGGCTGCATAGTATTCCATGTGCCACGTTTTCTTCATCCAGTCTATCATTGATGGGCATTTGGATTGGTCCCAAGTCTTTGCTATTGTAAACAGTGCCACAGTGAACATATGCATGCATGTGTCTTTATAATAGAACAATTTATAATCTTTTGGGTATATACCCAGTAGTGGGATTGCAGGGTTATAGCATCTCTGTTTCTAGATCCTTGAGGAATTGCCACATTGTCTTCCACAATGGTTGAACTAATTTACTCTCCCACTAACAGTGTAAAAACATTCCTATTTATCCACATCCTCTCCAGCATCTGTTTTCTCCAGATTTTTTAATGATTGCCATTCTAACTGGCATGAGATGATATCTCAATGTGGTTTTGATTTGCATTTCTCTAATGACCAGTGATGATGAGCATTTTTTCATATGTTTGTTGGCTGCATCAATGTCTTCTTTTGAAAAGTTTCTGTTCATATCCTTTGCCCACTTTTTGATGGGGTCGTTTTTTTTCTTGTAAATTTGTTTAAGTTCTTTGTAGATTCTGGATATTAGCCCTTTATCAGTTGGGTAGATTGCAAAAATTTTTTCCCCATTCTGCTGGTTGCTGGTTCACTCTAATGATTGTTTCTTTTGCTGTGCAGAAGCTCTTAAGTTTAATTAAACCCCAATTGTCTATTTTGATTTTTCTTGCCATTGCTTTTTGTGTTTTAGTCATGAAGTCCTTGCCTATGCCTATGTCCTCAATGGTATTGCCTAGGTTTTCTTCTAGGGTTTTTATGGTGTTAGTCCTTATGTTTAAATATTTAATCCATCTGGAATTAGTTTTTGTATAATGTGTAGGGAAGAGGTCAGTTTCAGCTTTCTGCACATGGCTAACTAGTTTTCCCAACACCATTTATTAAACAGGGAATACTTTACCCGTTGCTTGTTTTTGTCAGGTTTGTCAAAGATCAGATAGTTGTAGATATGTGGTGTTACTTCTGAGGCCTCTGTTCTGTTCCATTGGTCTATATCTCTGTTTGGGTACCAGTACCATGCTGTTTTGATTACTATAGCCTTATAATATAGTTTGAAGTCAGGTACTGTGATGCCTTCAGCTTTGTTTTTATTGCTCAGGATTGTCTTGGCTATGTGGGCTCTTTTTTTGTTCCTTATGAAGTTTAAGGTGGTTTTTTTCCATGAACTGAGTGTTTTAGCAAGAGTGAGTATATTTATAGCTTAGCAAATGATAGGGGTCTTTCCATCCTATTGTCTTTGATGAAGTCAGGTGGAGATATTTCCAAACTCGTTTGTAATTCACTGCTTACGTGGGTTCATGATGTCTTCAGAGCCTTTTGTGAAGAGGACAAGGTAGATCAGATGGTGTGAAGGAGGTTGTCTACAGTTGGCCATGTGAGAAAAGGAGAGAAGAAAAATGTTATCTTTTTTTCTCCTCTCCCCCTAAAATTTTACTGTAAAAATTCTTTAGAGAGAACTGCCCTGAGAGCCTCTCCCAGATGCATATTTGAGAATAATGATGGGTACAGCATATTTCAAAGTGAGAAAACGTCTCTGCTGTGGCTGGCATAGTCCTGTTTCTCCAGGCTACAATGGTCTTGGCATACATTCCATTCATTACATCTGGCATTGTTAGGAGATTCCAACACATCACCACAGGCACCTTCTAGTGCTCTGAGTCTCTTGAGTTGAGAGGAAGGAGGGAGTGTATGTGTGTCTCCATTTTATTCCTCCACACAGTGGGTTAATCTCTACTTTTCCTGACTTCAAGCTGAACATTCCTGAGTAATGGTAGCTAACCTGCCTCACTGAGCCCATCTTCCTCCATTCCTCAACCAAGGAGGCATCTGTAAGGATTCTGCACATGGCCATTGATGGTCCACATGAGGTGCTTTGACTATTAGGGGTCATCTGCCTCTTTTTAGTTAGGGCACCAGAACAGTCCCCAAGAATATCACAGACCCTCCATAATGAGAACCAGTTGTTCACAACCCTCCTTCCCTCATGATCCTTGATGTCTGACTCAATAGTTGTTCCTACATGGTGGGTAAGCAGATCACCAACCTGCACCCTTGTAAGCAGCCCTTTGATAAGACTCCCAGAGGCACCCTAAGGCTAGACACACAGAAGTGAAAGAAGTTCCCCACACCTGGCTTCTGAGTAGCAGAAGTTACCTTTAGCAAAAGATGCTTTTATCCCCAGTTCAAAGTCAAGGCTCTAGCTGCATGAAAGTGTTCTGAAAACTGTTCCAGGACTCCCAGGCCCCTTAGTGACCAAGGAAAGAGGATCCTCTCCTGCCCTTGGGTGTGTTCATTTTGTCAAGAAACCTGATAGGGCATGAAGGTCTTGTGAGGCACTGGATGAGTGATAGTGTAGCAACACAAGTATAACTGGTCTGTGCTTCCTGACTAACAAGAGCAGAACCAACATCAGAAAACAACAATGAGGAAATGCAGATTAGACCAGATGGTGAGTTGAGGAGAATGCCTTTACTGGTCTTCCTTGGAGGCAGAGGTGTGACTCTCTTGACTCACTAAACTGCATGAAGCCCTTGCTGTGTTTGCATCTGATGTTACGCGAATCACAGTACTCCTTGCAAAAGTTTTACACACCCACTGTGTCACATTCATATTGTACAAATATTGAGAGCTTATTCTGTTTCTGATAAAGTTGTAAGAGCTTTACCTGAGTAAGTTTTTAATCTTCACACACAACTCTTTAGGGACCATTAATCTTATTTCTCATGTAAGAAAACAGAGGTTCTGAGGGATGACAGAACATGCCCAAAGTCATACAGCTACTAAGAAATGTAGCCAAGTTAGAAGCCAAGTCTCTCAATTCTTAACCATTATGTGGCAAGCCTTCTGTGAGTCATAGTCTCCTGCATGCTGCACTAGCTGGAACACACGTCTTGCTTTCAGTTGTGGATACTGAAAAATCTATAATGCGTCCAGGAAAGGAGAGACTCCCAGCACCAGCAGAGCCTAAAGAAACTGTGGGGTCACATTCTTTGGAAGAATGTAGCAGAAATTCCCATCCCGACTCAGAACTTTTAGACACTTAAAGTGTAGAAGACCAAAGGCTCTTATTACTCCATGCAAATAAGCCAGTGGTTGGCAGAAGGGTTGAAACCATGAGATTTTCTCCAAGGGATCAATGTGTCAAGTGATGGGATGTCCAACCATCAAAAGAATTTGAACCTGGGAGCTATTTAGGTCCTGTGAGCACCTCATGATGGAGACAGGCAGGGTGACATTGATGGTCACACTGTCCAAAAAACTACACACGCTGTGTACTGAAATCAAGGGAAACCAGACTGTACCAGAAGTGTGGGAACCCCTCCCTCTGGAAATCTAAAGACAGTGCTGCAAGAACTCTGCCTTTCCTATCCTTTCCTATGCTTTTACTTGGCCCCCAACATCTCAGCACTGGTAGGGGAACATGATCCATGCACCTATGTCCACCATCCTGAGAAGGTCTTCTGAAAAAAGAATAATAACAAGAAAGTTGTGATGTTTGACTGGGATGTTGTTAGAAGACCACATATCCAGTGAGAGAAAAGCTAGTGAATATAGCAATATCGAAAGTAGAAATTAGAGAAGAAAAGGTAAAAAAGAGAAAAATATTTTATGTTTATGCCTAGATGACTTGATGGTTAATAAATGGGTTAGCTACATAAATGAGTTAGCTAGAGAAATAGATTAAGAAGAGGATGATCCCAAGAATAACAAAATAGTGGCTTCACCCAGGGAGGGGGTTTGAAGAGTCTCAGGATGAAGCTGTGTTTCTGGAATAGAGAATGCATTTCCTGACTGGATCGAGGATTGGGATAAAAGAAGGGAAGTGGTTGATTTGGTGGGGAAGACAAGAAGACATGCCAAGGCTCTGTTTGTAATTTTGCACTTTTTGATTCTTTTTTTTTTTTTTTTTTTTTTTTTTGAGAGAGAGAGAGGGTCTTGCTCTGTCACCCAGGCTGGAATGCAGTGGTATGATCTTGGCTCACTGAAACCTCCTTTTCCCAGGTTCAAGTGATTTTCCTACTCAGCCTCTCAAGTAGCTGGGATCACAGGCATGTGCCACCACACCTGGCTAATTTTTGTATTTTTTTGTAGACACGAGTTTCGCCATGTTGGCCAGCCTGGTCTTGATCTCCTGACCTCAAGTGATTCGCCCACCTTGGGCTCCCAAAGTGCTGGAATTCAGGCATGACCCACTGTACCTGGCCTGATTCTATATTATTTTCAAAGCAGTATGCATGTATTGTTATGAAAAAGATTAAAACTAGTTAGTCACATTCTGTGCCCTCATTTTATTTATCATCTTGCTTTTTTTTTTCACCAAGTGGATGCTGAGTCTCCCTTAAGGAGATAAATATAGGAAATTTAAGGGGGTTTATTCAACCATCTGCCTTGGCATCTTTCCTCTTTTCATTCAGAAAGAAAAATTAAATATCTTATGAATGCAGCTGAAGGCACCAACCCTTGATATGAAGCTCAGTTTTCATTCCCAGGTTGGAGATTCTGCCTCAGTCCCTGTCCTTCCTGGTGACAAAGTCAGTAATGAACAGGAATTTCCTCCTCCTGCACCCAGGAAGAACACATTTCTGTGGGTGCCAAAATAGCTCAATTCCTGGATAGGCCACACTCAGGCTTTCAGAAACCTGTGAACCATAGAATGAGTAAGCATTTGATCCTGCCCAGAGAGCCTCATCCTGGTTCTTTAAGCTGAGAGCCCAAATGCTCCTTTACTGGTGTGGTGGAAGGTGGATGATGTCAGAGGCCCAGCCTTGGTGATTCAGCCAGTTAGAAGGGACTGCATTGGGCCAGAAAAAATCTAGGTCAGCACTGCCCTATGTAGCCTGCCTCCCCTACCTGCATCCCACCTGCAGGGAATTTGCTCTTCTCTGATTCTCCAGTCTGGGGAATTTAATAGTTACAGTAACTGTGGGCAGCACAATTGCTAAGATTCAGTTGAAACTGTGGAGTTGTGGGAGCTTTGGCTCTGAATTCCTCCTTTGACTCCTAGGTGTGCTCAGAAGCGCTTGAGAACCAGGTGGCCTCTCCCTCTGTACCTCCCCATGATGATCGTGAATGTCTGTGTGGATCAGCAACCACAGATGGAGGCACCTGTGGCTCTCAACATCCATGAGGCTGTGTGTCCACTGTGCCTGTGTCCTTCCTTGTCACAGGCCCCAGGGATGTTCCCAACATACAGCCACTTTCCAGTTAATTGAAGTTCCCTGACACACACTCTCCTGTGGATTCACAGAGTGCAACTTTGTGTTTTCTTTTTAGAAGAGCCAGCTCATTTAGAAAATCCAATTGGTCTATACCTTCTGTTTTTGTACAGTCTTCATAGCATAATATGAATGATAGAAATTTTCTATATCCTTATTATTGTCCTTTTATGTTTTGTGTCATTTTGTACACACATAAGTACTTTTGAGACAATTGGCCTTAATAACCATCAAATTCTATGCTGTGGAGGTAAATTTTCATCAAAATTATATAATACATTTTATGTGTTGATTTGAAATTAGGTTAGATTAATTAAAGAAGGGTGGCTGATACTACTAAATTTGCATAGATAATTTATGTTTCTTTCTTTAGTTTATGCTTCACTATTAGGGTAGATCTGAATAAGAGGAGTGTTTGGGGGCCGGGTGCAGTGGCTCACATCTGTAATCCCAGCACTTTGGGAGGCTGAGGCAGGTGGATCATGAGGTCAAGAGATTGAGACCATCCTGGTCAACATGGTGAAACCCCCTCTCTACTAAAAATACAAAAAATTAGCTGGGCATGGTGGCGCATGCCTGTAATCCCAGCTACTTGGGAGGCTGAGGCAGGAGAATTGCCTGAATCCAGTAGGCGGAGGTTGTGGTGAGCCCAGATCGTGCCATTGCACTCCAGCCTGGGTAACAAGAGCAAAACTCCATTAAAAAAAAAAAAGAGGAGTGTTTGGTGAGCCTTGGACCCTGACATTTGAAGTCTGGTAGTACTGGTGCTCCTTGGGTCCTCCTTAGCTTCAAAGGTCCTTCCCTGGAACTTACAAAACCTTAAGTGGGACTGAGATATTTCTAGAGAACAGATCATATTGGTAATTTGAGCCAGGAGGTAGCTTGGGATCTGGGCTTTTCACTTTCCAGACAGGGATGATGCTTTTCTTCTTGCTGCAAGTTGTTGAAAGAGAGGCCTTCTAAGAACAGAACCCCTAGACCAGATCCTCAATCCCAGCTCTTGAGTGCTCCTCACTGCTGACTGAGCTCAGATATCTGCCCAGTGTCTACTATGGCCATTCTGCACCAGACTTCATCCTGTGCCACTTCTATTTCTGTGAAGGTAAAGGAGCCTTCATACTAGGAAGTCTGAAATTGTTCTAGGTTTTCCCATTCACTT